GAATGAATGAATGAAAAATCATTATATTAAATGCATACTTTGTGCCAATGACTGTATGAAATGTTAGAAATATTAATAAAAAATAAAATGAAGAAATTTCTGCTCTCAAGTAACATTCTAATAGGGAAGGGGGCTGTAAAATTGGTGGAACATAATAGTTATGATTTATATAGTGCTTTATGGTCTGCAAAGAGCTTTCCACATTATTTCATTTTATCCTCCCTCACCTGGAAGGCAGGTACTCTTATTATCCCCACTTTACAGCTGAGATAACTGAGGCAGACTGAGATTAAGTGACTTGCCTGGGGTCCCAGGGCTAGTAAAGGTCAGAGGCCACATCAGAACTCTGTCCACTGCACAGGTAGGTAATGGTCACTGGAATATCCTTATGGAAGAGATTAGGAGATTCAGAACAAAGGCACAGGGACAGGGGTCAGTTTTAGTGACAAACAGAAATACTTCTTCTGAGACCAGAGGGAAGGGAGAGTGAGTGGGAGATGATGGGGAGAATTTTAAGGAAGGGAGACAGGTAACTGGACACAAATGGGATGGCCTCCATCTTTTCAACCAGATCATCTCATATGAGTGCAGTGGGTGTGGTTGAGGGTAAGAAAAGATAAGACATCAGAGTAGTCACTGTGGGGAATGAGAGAGGGGGCTGATAAAAGTATACTTAGATTGTTGAATAGCAACAGGGCCCAAGTCAGGCTATATGAACAAGATTTTGTAGTGGAGAATCACAGCTCAATTTTGTGACTTTCTCTCCTTATTCCAATAAGAACATTCAAACAAGCAAATCATTTTCATGTTATCTGTGGTAGCTATGGAGACTTCTGACTCATTATGCTTCCTCTATATACTTAATAATGTTGTTTTTTTTAATGAGTTAGAAAGGCTTTATAATCACCTTAAGAGACTAAACCCTTCAAAAGGGTTTATCATCAAAAGCAGAGACAACTCCTGCAATCTGTCATTTTTAAACTTCTGATTTTTTCTTAGATAAAAACCAATAAGACTGATCCTTTTAACACGACCACTGCCTGGCTCAGTGATTCTTACGTAGCCCTGGGCATACTGGGATTTTTTTTATTTGTCCTTTTGGGAATCACTTCCTTGCCATCAGTCAGCAACACAGTCAACTGGAGAGAGTTTCGATTCGTCCAGGTAAGGACTTTCAGATATGCCTTCCCTTTTTTATTCCTTTGAAATAAGTCATTAATCATACTGAAGAAAGAAGTTTGGCTCTGAATCTGAAACCATGCCCAATAGAAAGCAGCACTCAGAAGTGTGTGTTGATAACGAAAGCCCTGTTATCATTCATGTTGATGTAAATGGTATTTCACGTGTGTCACTGTGTTTCTTCCATACAGTCCAAACTTGGTTACCTGACACTGATCTTATGTACAGCACACACGCTTGTGTTTGGTGGGAAGAGATTCCTCAGCCCTTCTATTCTCAGGTGGTATCTGCCTTCAATCTATGTGCTAAGTCTCATCATCCCCTGTACCGTGTTGGTCTTGAAGTTCATCCTGGTAATGCCGTGCTTCGATCGGCCGCTTACACGGATCCGGCAAGGCTGGGAAAGGAACTCCAAAGTCTCTAAAAAGGCCCAGTTAGGAAGTGGCAACAATGAGGTGTGAAGGAGCTCATCATTACCACTGGGACTTCCCAGCAATGGACTTGAATGTTTACTGTAAAGTGTGCTTTTCTTCCCTACGCCTTCCTCCTCTTCCTCTCTCTGGAGTACCAGGAGCAGGCAGGGAAGGACTTTCTGCTAGGAAGGCCCCAAGAAACGACTGGACATTTGGAAGAAGAGATCCACTCTTCCTTGACTTCAACTTCGATGCCAGGATATGCAAGAAGTTTGATCTCTCTCTGTCTCTCTCTCTCTGAAAATTTAATGTCACAAGGCCACCCCACTTTCCTCAAAGGTTCCACAATTTCACTGGGCAAATGAGGGATCCCTCTATTGAGCTACATAGTGACCTCTACTTTCTCCATCCCACCCACCCCGAATACCTTAGTAGTCTTCATAAGTTGCTACAGGAAAAAAAAAACCAAAATTTAATAACCAGCCTCTGGCATTGATTTACTCTAATCTTATCTAAGCTAGTCCTCATACAATATACTCATTGTCCATGACCAAGGCCCTACTAACTTGATAGAACCTGCCAAAACTTGTGTGCCCTGCTGGCTTAGCTTTTTAGAACCTAATATGACTTGAGTGTTAGGGAACATTGAAGAAAAACCTTCACAGAAGACAGATTCCCTAGTGTATATATTATTTCATAGGGAGAAACAATCTACTGTGATGGAAGGGGTTGGAAGAAGAAAATCCCCCCTCTCTCCCCAAAAAAAAACCACAGAGATGAGGTGGAGCCAGAAAAACAATGTTGTACTGGTTTATCATGGATCACATTGGACTCATTGCTTCAGTATGTTTCATTATTTGCATGTGTCTAAATATCACTTACGGCTGACTACATGTAGTATTATCTTCTTACACAATCCACAGTGATGCTAGTTCCTGTAACTCACCAAGACTCATCTTTTTTGTAAACAATGAAACGTAATATGAAAATTAAACACTGGTAGACCTAACTGGGGATCAGTTGAAGGAACAGTAAGTGTTTAAGCCTGCAAAAGACAGGACAGGTGGGAGATGATAGCTGCCTTCAAGTTTTTTGAAGAGCTAAAATGTAGAAAAGGGATTATACAGATATGTTCTTGTCTCTTGAAAGCAGAGAAAAAAACCAGAAGGAACGTGGGTGTAATGGTAAAAAAAAAAAAAAAGTTTTAACCATCAGCTTAGGGGGGCTAGGGGAAGCACTTTAAAGTTAAACTGTATTATTAACCTTTTTTCATCATTTTCTTAAGTCTGGAATAATCAACAAAACAATAAATCAAAGTATGATTTGTAGAATTTTGCCAATTTCTGAGGTATAAGTGCTTATACTGAAATTTACACTATCAGAAAGTCAGTTAGAGCCTGAGCCAGCATATCTCCAGAACAATGGGCAGAAAGTGCAAAGAGGCAAATTGTGATTTGGTATCAGGGGAAACTTCCTAATAGTGAGAGCCGTAAGTTCTCCTCTAATTAAAGGTTATCATGTACGAGCTAGATGACCACTTGTTTAGTAGACTGTGCTGGCTCCCCTGCACCTACTATGTGTACATAGTAGGAGCCTTTAATAAATGCTTTTTGATTGACTATGGAGGGGATTTTTTTTTTCCAAGCGTGGTTTGGATTAGATGGCCACCAAGCTCCCTTCCAACTCAAAAGTGCTTAGATTCTGTGAATAATGGATGACTAGGGATTATGAAAGGTTCCAAAGCATTTCGATATGGTGGTGGTCAAGAAGAAACAAGACATGGTAGGAACACACTGGAGGAAAAAGCAGAAAAAAGATTAAAAATTAAAAAAGGAAGGAAAGAGTGTCAACATTATAAAAATACAGAGTAAAAAACAAGTTTCAAAGGAAACATGAACAGGATAATTTTGTTTCCAACATGATGAATTGTATGTACATTTTTTTTTAAAAGCAAACTGTACATAACAAATTTACTACTTCATATACATCTTTTTTTATTTGTATATTAAAATGTTTTTCTTTGATTTGGCTCATAATAACAAATAAAATTTTAAAAAGAAAAAAAAACTGAACTTTGATTCCTTGGTTCCCTCACTGGTAAAATAAGAATGCTAATGCCCAGTCTACCTACTTCACAGAGTTGAAGAGTGGCTCAAACGAGAGTATATGTGAGAAAGTTTTATAAACTCTAATTGTGTAATTGATCAGGGGTCCTAGAAATAACACAAAGCACCCTTTCTGGAATCCTTGATGGGTTACAAGCAGTGGTGTCAAACTCAAAGAGAAATGGATCCCCATTGCCTACAGCTTGTTGACTTAGGAAACCACAAATTAACATGACCTGTGTTGAATTTTGCAAACTCTGCCAGTTTGACACTAACGGACTAGAGGACAGTTCACATTTATTTCATCTGGCTTGGTTTTCCTCTTTATACCAAGCATAGAGCTTGGAGGAAGTAGCAACCCAGTGTCACATCACACACCACACACAGGTGGTAGTAATGCTCTACAGTTGGTTCAGTTCATTATGTCAAGATGGTGGTTGCTATCCTACTTGGTCTCATAGAATATACTCAAGGATAGTAACTTGGGCTCCCCAGTTGCCAATCCCTGATCTTCTGTCATACTGTATCATGACGGAGTACAGAGTTGGCAAAGTACATTAGGTAACTGACTGCTTCCTGAACTCCTAAAATGGCCTCTCCTACAAATCCTACCAAACGAAAACCCACCTGGTTAGCAAACACCACTTTCAAAACGCAAATACTTCTGAGTGGGTAAAATCTATCAAATGGTTGTATTTCAATATTGGCTTTTAATCTGACTGGTTTCCTAATTGATAGCAAACTCCTAGGAATTAAGAATCTTTGGAGAAAGGAAGGGAAGATTCTTTGGGAATTGTATAGTGGAAGGCAGCCTGGAAGAGTGTCTTCATGGAAGGTCTTTAGAGTCAGAGGATAACAGTCAATGAGCCAAAAAAAAATTTATTAAGCACCTACTAGGTTAGTTAGGGATAGCTAGGTGGCACAGAGGATAGAGTGCTGGGCCTGGAGTCAGGAAGAGACAAGCTCAAATCCAGCCTCAGACACTTACTAACTGTGTGACCCTGGGCAAGTCACTTAACTCTGTTTGCCTCAGTTTCCTCATCTGTAAAATGAGCTGAAGAAGGAAATGGCAAACTACTCCAGTATCTTTGCTAAGAAAACCCCAAATGGGGTCATGAAGAATCAAACATGGCTGAAAAGGACTGAACAGCCACAAAATCAGACATGTTGAATGCCACAGCTTGTCCCTCGGTGGCACCACCAGAAATAGTATCAATAAGCTGGCTATACCTCCAGGTCGGATTCTTCTGGCTTTATACAGTCCTTTTCATAATACTGCATGCAAAGATTTCAACAGCATTCTCATGTGCTTGATCATTAGGTCCTCCATTACAGTATCTGCCTGAATATGTCCTATAACATTTGGGTATTAACCAGTAGCACAAGTCCAGTGGCTGAATTAGTTTCTGCTGAGTCTGTCTCCATAGAAACTGCCATCTTAAGCCTTCCACTCCAGTCTTGTGTGACCCAGCTCTCCCCTCTCAAAGGCAGTTGTGTGAACATTTGGCCAAGTACTCAGAAAGCGTCTGATGTCTTGCCATGAGGCAAGAAGGTAAATCATTTCTTTCCCTTTTGCTTTCCTCTACCTTGATCGCCACAGAAGGCATTTCTGCACTTCCCTGATGCCTCCCCAAGGTACACTTTGGTTACCACCCAGTTGGTTTAATGTCTTCACACTTTGAAGCAGTGGGAAAACTTACTGAAGGCAAAGAATAAAAAAAAAACGCTTTGGTGCCACAGCTCTCATTGTCAGGACGTCGGCTCCAGAAGCGATTTGTGACAGCACTCATAGAACTCAAGAGGAAAGTCACAAGGCAGCCAATTGTAATTAAGATTTTTTACCTCTGTGGAAGAGGAAAGTTCAGATCCAGTCAACCTATCTTTCTAAACTCATTATACATTATACCCCGCTGGATTCCAGGGACTCTGCTATCCAGCCCAAAATCATTATTCCTTGTTCCTAACCCCATTTCCTGTCTCAGTGTCTTGAAAACGGCCATCCTTCAGACCCAGAATACACTCGCTCCTCACCTCTGCCTCACAGAATCCTCTTTTCCTTCCAAGACACAACTCGAGCAAGACCCACAAAAAGTCTTTCCTGGTTTTCCCCAATTGCTAACGCTCTCTCTCCATACCTAACCTGCATTTAACTACCTTGGGTTTTGTTGGAAACATTTTATTATATTGTTCAGAAAACCTTATTTATTACTATTTGAACCTAGCTTGATGTGGCTAGAAATTGGCAGACCTCAGAGATGTTCCCAGAGAAGCCAGAAAGCTCTAAGGAAAGCTAGCAGCCTAACTAGATCTTGGGTCCACCAGATGCTTGTGCTTGGGGTTCCCCACCCACCTTAATTTGCATGTTAATGCTTGATTAAACATATCTCAATGGACCTTGCCAGGAAGCTGCCCACACTACAAAGTAGCTTAAGCCCTAGAGTGGTTTCAGCTTGAAAATTCTTCTCTGAAACCTAGTACAGACACCTGTGAGACTGGAGAGGGAGCCTTCTTTTCACCTTCTTCCTCTACCAAACAAACTCCTCTAGAGCAGAGATTACTTCATTTTTGTCTCTGTATCTCTGAGCCTCATGGCCTGACACATAGTAAGCCAGTGCTACTACAGTACTATAACAGCATTCATTAATCCTACGGTAGGATTTGTTAAGATAATTGCTCGGAAAGCAAGTTATCTAGGAAGCAAACAAGGATTTGATAAATGGATGCCTACTATGTATCCAGCACTGAAAGTAACTTGATCCTTCCTACTCATAAGTACTTTCATGAAACCAAGTACAAAGAAAGAACTATTGTTTAGGTTCTTAACCTGGGGTCCAAATAATGAGGATAGGAGCTAGACCCCAAAAAGGAAAAACCCTGGACTTTCTCACATAGCCAAATCTCTGGCATTTGCCTGAGGCTATAATTCCATCAACTGGCCTTTCATTGAGACTGTATTTATATATCTCCATTAAGATGCTTAGATTCTTTAAATCTAGCCACTGCTCAGAATTCTTAAAATCTAGCCACAGCTCAGATTCTTATAATCTAGCCACAACTTAGATTCTTAAAATCTAGCCACTAGCTCACTAAAGTTCAGACTCCTTAAGAGTCTGCCCAATATGATGGATGTTCTAATAAACTTTGTCTTTGCCTGAAAGAAGGCTTGGATCAAATTCTTTCCAGCAGGATTCACATGTTGTGATATTGGGGTTCCAGCACCCCTGAACCCCTAAACTTCATCACACAGACACATTCCCCAAGTGGTCCATAAGATAGGTTCAGGGGATCCAAAACTTGGATGGGAAAAATACTTTGATCACTATATTTCAACAGAATTGGTTTCTTATTCAATCTTATCTATTTTATGCATTTAAAAATTCTCTTCTGCAAAGAGATCTATAGGTATTGATGGGGTGATGGGACCTGGACCCCTAAAAGGAAAAGATCATGTCTTTGAAAGCAACCCAGTCCCTGAATTTTCCCATACATTCAGTAACCCAGATCACTGGGCTCTGCCCAAGGCAACTGGCCCACCCTAGCCCACCCAGATCACTTAATTAGCTTACTTGACAGTCCTTTCACTGTTGCTCTTGGCCCACCCCGGACTACTTAATATCCCTTTTGCTATTGAACCTGGCCTACCCCAGACTATTTACTACTCCTTAATCCCACCCAGATCCTTTCACTGTCCTTTCCCTTATATGAGTATCAGTCTCACCCCCATTAAGTTGTAGATGCCCTAAGAATCTCTCACACATTACAATAAACCTTGTCACTTGACTAAAAGAAGGTTTGAGTGTGTGAATTCTTTCCAGGCAGAAGCTGCCCTGTACCCTGACATTTCAAGGTTCCCAGCAACCCCAAACCACATCAGTATCACCAGACTGACAAAAGGGTCTATAACACAAAAAATTCCCTTACTTTTTACAGGGGGAAGATTGGCAGAGAGAGATGAAAGGGGTACCAGGATGAGGGGTGTCCAGTGGAAAGAACACTGGATTGGGAGTCCAAGTGATGGGGTGCTTGTGCTTGGGTGTCTGTGCTTGTACTTGGACCTCAATTTCTCCCTAGTCTCAGAAACACTGTCTCTGACAAT